AGCAGTAGAAATAAGAATGTTATATGCCAGAGAAATTCTGTGTTCAGTTGAAGTGTGAGGTATACTTGTTAGAACAGTTCAAATCAAGCTCACAGAAATGAAGGTTAGTTGCCTACAACTGCCTCCTAGCAGAAATTCACATATAAGATGATACATTATTTTTCCTTAAAAAAATCGTCCCAGCTCAACAAAACCTGGCCAGTTTATTATATGATATTTAATATATATTGATCCAAAATGCACATCTACTCTGAGAATAATGGAGCAAAGAAATAAAGTAATAATAACAGATGCCTCAAAACCAAGAAACACTTTTCACCTGAAATACTGAAAAATGAAGGTATGGTATTTGTATTTGTTAAAATTAGCTAGAAGTTATTAATCCTCAAATTCCCTTTGAATATAGAAAAGACTGGAATATCAACCCCAGGGAAAAATGCTTAAGGACTTGGTACCTGGTATTAACCGTTTTAAGATAATGTGTATACCATATCCTTCTTCGTACCTTTACGGACTTAAGTAATTGATATACCTACCAGAAATCCCACATAGGCCCTTAATAGACTGATTTTAGTCTAACCTTCACAAACATAATTATTAAACATATAATCTCTAGCTTCTAGAAATTTAATATTTGAATATAGCTGTACATATAACATCCTCTCACATTGTTCTCTTTTTTTTCCCTCTTAAACATCTATGGGCTAACTGAAAGCCAAAAGAAAAGGAAAATGATGGGTGGAGGATAAGGCATTTCATAATGAGTGAATATAGTTATTCAAATCTACCAGATTACGGTATATCTATTTTAGCATGATAATTTGCATGGCAATGAACTATACCATTTAATGAACAGTAGGATCTCTTGGTATTTGAAACAAAGCAGTAGGGAGATATAAGTGAGGACAGACAATAAAAGCTCTGTATAGCATTAAATCCTAAAGTTGAAAAAGTAAGAATTTTACAGGGAAAATATTAACTTGAAACTCTAGTGTTAAATCAGATTGAATTAGAATGTTATTGACATACAAACAACCTGAACATAAAATCTCCATGTACTTAGGTCTTATGCAGCTAAATAGAGCCAGTGCCAATTTAAAAAATAATTTTAAAACAAAACCAGATTAATGGCTTGTTGCTCCTCAGCAACAAGAAGGCAGAGTGGGGTGGGGACAAGCAGGACCAGCCTGTTATCCCCAGGGGCTGAGCGAGAGGGCAAGTGTCGACAGCTTGGTCACCCTCCCCAGAGATTCGGGGAAAACAAAACCACACCAAGCCGGGAGATGTGTCAGCCTTGGAGGCACAGCAAAACTCAGCTTTATTGCATCAGCTTAGTTATATAGGGGAAGATAAGGAAGTAGCAAAAACCAGTGGGAATTGATTATCTCATCTGTCACTAGGGTCTTAGGCAGGTTTTAGGTTAGGTGGGCAGGCGGAGTTAGGACTAAGAGCGTGCACAGAAACTCAGTTGGGCCACGAATGCGGAAGTAATGAGGGAGGGTGGAAACCTCCAGCCTGCACAAGCCCAAAAGAGGCAAAATGTCCCAACAATGGCTCAAAGATAATGAGATAGATTACACTGTTTCGGCAAAACTAATTTGCAGCTCAAAATATGAATATGATATATACAGCTGCTATGTGTGTGCACCTATGTACAGTTCTGCTATAATGCTGGTTTTAAAAATACAGATTTGTTTCAAGAAGAATGACAAATAAATGAAAGTTAATATGTATTTTTTGCTTATGGGATACCTCCATGAGAAACTCTACCTGAATGCAGAAAACTTGCAGGGTAACTTGAGCCCAGTGAAAACAAATTAAAAACATGCCTTTCAAACATCCAACCACCTCAGCCCACCTCATTAGCTGGTAGCCACACCATTCACATAGCTGTTAAAACTTTCCATCTGATAACAGATGATCCTCCTTCCACCACTTCACAATAACTCCCAAGCTGAAACCTTTGGTGCTCACTTCCACAAGCAAATGTCAGGCCTTTTCCAAGGTAAAGTGCCATATTTATTGTAGTATTTGTGTATTTCTTAACTATTTTTGTGTATTTTTTAAACAATTCTTAATCATTTTTATGAAGTTCTATATTTTTAGATGTCATTAACAAAGTTTTTGAGTATTATGTCTATAGTCCCAATTTTTCCATAAGTCCTTGTATTTTCATTATTTGATATTGCATAAAACAATGATTGTTAAGAACCCATATATTGCAATACAGAATTTACTACATCAGGTTACCTGGGATGAATGAATACTCCTAGTACAGGTTTATTCCAAGACCTCATTAAAGTTTAACAAATTTGGGCCACTATTAGAACTTACGGTTTTCACTAGGAATGAAGATGAAGGTGTGAGATATATTTTGAGTCCACTTTGATCTTTCTTCATTTGTCTAATGAAATTACTGTACTATATTTGGCTCCAACAAAACTCACAAGCACAATCATGACCCAATGGCAGTACTTGGATATGAAATAGTTACATTAGTGATTAAAATAATTTGATCACCATTTTGGTGAATTATTTTTTAGAATGTCTTCCATATTTAAAATGTGGGGTTAAAATTCCCCAGATTCTCAAGTTTCACAAGCCATTGTCTTGCAGACACTGAAGTGACCTGGATTTCAGAAACACACCATTATATTTTCAAAGCATAATTGAGTAACAAAAGAAACAACAAAATATCCCTAAGACTTTAACTGCATTTTCAGATTAACCACATCCAGGAAAGTATAGGTAATGATTACTGTCTTAGTTTGGGCTGTTATAACAAAATGCCATAGACTAGGTCACTTAAACGAACAGAAATGTATTTCTCACAATTCTGGAGTCTGGGAAGTCCAAGATGAAGATGCTGGCTCATTTGGCTTTTGGTCAAAGTCCCCTCCTTGGCTTGTTAGACAGGTACCTTCTCCTTGGATCCTCACATGGTGGAGAGAAACTCTGGTGCCCCTTCCTTTTCTTATAAGAACACTAATCCCATCAGAGGGGCTCCATTCTCATGACCTCATCTAAACCTTGTTACTTCCCAAAAGTCCCACAATATCATACCATCACACTGAGGGTTAGGGCTTCAACATTATGAATTTGGTGCAGGGCGGCACAGATGTTGAAACAGAAGCATTCAGTCCTTAATGCCTCCTTTCCCAGATCTTCTCATCAACAACTGCACAACTAAGAATATCACTAATTACCTAATTCTTAGATAGATTAATATGTTATCTAGTTTGTATATGTCCTGTAAGTCAGGCGTGGTCACCAGATCTTTATTATTTATTTTTTTTACCTATGTGTCCTCAACTTTCTTCTCCAGAATGTGATAAGCAAGGTATCCTTCAGGATGTTGACATTTACATATGTCATGCTGCATATAATCTGATTACTATGAGTGAACAGGATTAAAAACTCACAAACTCTTCAGAGTTTTCAGGTAAAAAGAGTTGTTTCAGCTTGAATTAATCACCTCAATTTTGCTTGCTTCAACTTGCCTAGAGGTACTCGGTGCTTATAAGAATAGTTTGTTTTATCAGAGGAGCACCTGGTAAGGGACAAGTGATGAGGTTGGAACACGGAAATCAATTTTTTGTTTAATTTTTACAATGATAATTAGAACTAATTGGAAGAGCACCCAATGCAAAAGTATGTCTATAAGATTCAAGAAGTAAGGTTGCCAAGTTAAAATTCAGTTAGAAAAATGAGATGGAAAATGAATGACTTCTGGTGGTGTTTAAAACCCATTGCACTGCAGCTGAACTGAAGATAGAATGTACAGAGATATGTTTTGTACAATATCATCAATTTGCTGCAAGGAATTCTCCCAATTACAGTTGTATAAAAGCCCCTAATAGGCCCATGTGCAAACACAGTTGTTTCTAATATGATTTAATTGGCTTTAAGTATAAAAAGTACCTATAAATCAATGTTACTCAGGGTAGAAGTGGTAATGATAATAAATTATCCATTTTTAAACATAACATTCAAGCCAGATAATTACTTGAAATACTTTTGTAAATAGAGGGGAATAAAACAAAAATAGTCCCATAATACTTTTTGTTGAACTAGAGGTTTTATATCTAATTTTAGACTCCTTTTCAGTACTATTTACGAAGGAAAATGCACCTTATTTGTAATGACTACAAAACTGAAAATGTTTATTTATAATTCCTGAAATAAATTGTACTATGTTCATATGCATTGCTTATCAAATATTAATGACAATCCAATAATATAAAAAGCAATTTTGAAGGAAGTTGGTAATTAATAATCATTAATAATGATTGGTACCTAACCATAGCATCATCATTCACTGCTCTAGAAAATTCTTAGAAAGATAATGGGACCAATATTTGGATCACTCAGTTTCTCACCCATCAGCCTTGGCAGAAAGTTTTCTGTCACAAATGCCTGTGAAATATGCCAACCATAATTTACTTTTCTCAGGCTTCAAAGTTTTGTCTCTTAATAATATAGGCCTCATAATATAGGCCTGAGACAATCTCAAAAACACACATATTAAGTACTTTCTGTCCATCAGAAAACGCATGTGTATCTGCATTTTAAAAAGATATTGGGGTATTCCTAATAGGCCAAGTCATGAATTTTCTGGAAAATGATGAAAACAACAAAAAATAGAAAATCTAAGATGGGCTACTTCAAAGCAACAGACAAAAAAGATGGTTAAAAGGTGAGAGGTAATTTTTGTTTTAGCAGAAATATATGTGGAAGTGAACATCATCCTTTATCAGTTTAGCAATAATCCTAAACAATCTGGCCTCACCTGTGTTCACATTCATTGCCCCAAACCTTTCTTAATCACTTCTTTCTTCCCCCTTTAAGTAGTATTTCCATTTTAAATATCGGTTCTAAAATGCAGCCACATTTTTTCGTTAATTTTTTAAAAATGCTCTCTGAGTTCTAAGATAACTTTTCAACCACTTAAAGCCAATTTTATATTACATCCTGTTTTTTATATTACTATAGTTAAGTACCTAGTGTAACCGCGGTGCCAGCTCCCTTGACTGTTTGCTGAGCTTTCCTCAGGGCAGCGCGGGTTTTGAGGCTCCGCGGCGGCTCCTGGCCGAACCAGGCGGGAGAGACCCAGACAGGCCACAACCGGCAGCGCCAACTGGAGTCTGCGCAGAAGGAACCTGCCCTCCAGGTCGAGGACTTGATGACGTTACCAGGGAGAGAAAAACCCACAGTGCACTCCAACTCCCTCTCAAGAGGACCCAGCCTCGCGCTTGCGCAACAATCTCAGTGCGCTTCCTCCTTTAGTAACAGTGAGAAAGCTTGGCGTCTGTGCTTTCATATTGTATCTGTCTGTCTTTTTTGGCTTTTTATATTTGCGGCCTCAAACTTTGAGCCAAAAAGCTTAGCCCTAAAGTCCTGCATGTGGTCTTGTTAACCATCAAAGGAATTTTGCTTGTGATTTAGAATTAATGCAACCAGCCTTTACCTGAAGCTCGCCTCCCCTGAGGAGATGAAAAAATCTGTATAATTATAACGGTTGAATTATAGGAACGTCACGGCCAGACCCACGTCAACAAAAATATTGGAGTTAACTAAGCAAGGACAAAGAGTTTCACCATCCTCTGATCCTTGCTGACATCCTGATGTCTGAGGTCGATTGCCACCTCCTGACCTTAGCCCTATCCTGTTTCCCCCTTTGTCAAATATAAAGAAGCTTGAAGTTAACCCTGAGTTAATATGGTGCTTTAGAACATTAGTCCACCATCTTCTCAATCTACTGGCTTTTTGACTAAAGTTGATTTCCTTGCTCCAAAATCTTGTCTCTTGATTTCTTATATCTTATGCAGCAAGTGGCATGAACTTGGACCCAGTAACAAATTCCTCTGTCCAATCAGTAACTGATGCTCCTGCCTTAAAGCTGGCTCTAGTCTTTGGATGGAGGAAATGGATGATTTGAGCTTTGCCTCCTGCGTTCTAACTGGTCAGCCTTGCAGTAAAACTTTTCCAAAAGCCAGTGTCCCATGTTTGGCTTAGGGGGCACATTAGGCAGAAGGCCCTAAGAAATTAATATTAGCCACTGAACAACAGTGAAGAAGACTGTGGCACTGCAGTCAAGACTACTCTTCGCTAAAAGGTAAATTTAAATTGAGTGAGATGAGACTCCACAAATACTGAGAATCCTACAGAAAAGCAGGAACATAATTAGGCTGATCGACACTCTCAGGATGTCCCAATTTTGAAGGCTGCCCTCAGCTTCAGTGTTCGATAAATGGTAAACTGATTGGAAAGTTAAGTAGAAGCAACAGTACAGCTTTAGCCAAAATGCCCAGCTTGCATGGGATCTGGTAGCAGCTTCCAGCAGGGTCCTTCAAATGTGGCATTACTGCCTAAACGTCTGCATCCACTGCTCATTCACTTGAGCTTTCCTGAGAAGTAGAGCTCGGAGTAGAGTAAAACCAGCCTAGATCTCTTGTTCAGAATTAATGCCATGGTGAGTTCAATTTTTGTGGAAATAAAATTCTGTCTGTCTCTCAGTCTCTCTCACATGCACAGAACCAAGGGGGTCCTAGTTTGGTGTAGTCTATAGAAAAAATGTCAGGTAATTAACAATATTTACATGTAGTTTGAAAGGAAATGCCTAAAACAGAACACTATAAAGGAGAAATAGGTCATGATGAAAAATGAGGTTGTTTTTGAGGGTAGTATACAACTCAACAAAAGAAAATGAGGTCTTATAGTTAAATAAGATCTTAAACATTATATGGCTTTACTTTATCATTTTATGAAAATGAACCCAAACCTCTGGAAGGTTATCTTACTTGACTAGTGTCACAGAGGCAACATTGACAAAATGAAAGAGAGTCTTATGTTTAAAAATTTTTTGCACAATATTATCTTACCTATAAATAATACTGTGAAAGAGGCTTTATAAAATGTTTTTTGTCATTATGAAAAAGTGTGTCCACAATAAAAATAAGAATGCTTCCTTTCAAATTTTACCAATTTTTATCATAAAACAGGTTTTATTTTACTCCATGTAAGAGCATGTAGGATTAGTTCCTAAAATGTTCAGTTTAAAAAGAAAAATTTCAAGGTTATTTGAAGCAAAAGTTAAAAATATACTCAGAGTAAGAAATTAATAGTAGTTATCTCATTGAGGTACTTTTCAACACAATCTTTTCCAATTCTACACAGATTACATAATAGTTTTAAAACTATTACTTAAAATATTGGAAAATACAGATATTAAAATAAGGCAAACTGCCTAAATTACACACGAAGTTAAATGAATGCGGTAGAGATTTTTAATTAATTTTTTCAATGTTTTGATTTCTGTTCATTTTTAATGTAATTTCTAGTGGAAACAATGTATCAGAAACTAAATCATGGTAAATTATTTTATAATGTATATGTATGCAGCATTTTCTCATTCAAATGCCATGTTTTTATTGTTGCCAAGTGTATTGCCTGTATTTATGTTGGTGGAATTCCAGTTTTGATTATTATTCTAATCTCTCTGAATATGAACTTCTTCATAGTGTTGGAAATTACATTCAAAATAATACCATGTAAGATTAATGGTCATCTTGTCACTATTGATAATTTTATATTTGCCAGTACTTTTCCTTGGTAGTCATACAATCAATGTGGTATGGAACTGATGTTGTCTAAATTACAACTGATAGATTATTGAGTCCTAAAGGACAAGAAAAAAGTTAACAAAAATTCAGTTCTGTAGGTAATTATAACTGATAAAAGAAAGAATAAAGATACACTTTTCAAAATGGCATAAATGATGAGATAAAACAAAAAGGATGAGGAGAAAACAGAATCGTGGATTTCCAGGGAAGGAATTGGGGGAAAATGATCATAGATGGAGAAACCAGCCAGTAGAGAAATCACCTATATTGAGGTTATAGATAGACACTGATACTGGATTTAGAGAAGATGATATGTAGTCCAGTGAAAATAATTCAAGAGGATAAAGTGGAAATTTATTTTAAAGACTGTTGAAAAGAGTCAAATTCAAAAAATAAGCATGTATCTATGTGCAAGTGAATGAGAAGATGTATACGTATTTTCAAACCTATCTGTATATTTTATCCATGTTAATAATAATACACCTTCTGCTAATGGTTCCATTTCCTTCCTGCTAATGGTTATGCTTTAGGATAGGAGAAGTGTCACAGTCTCAGAGCCCTTGAAACACACAAGGCTCTGCCTCCTATCAACAGGTAGGGAGGTATTACATCTGGTATTAAAAATGCTCATCACCTGCACTCAGGCACAGCTCCATACACCAACAATCACAACAAATGTCCAATTAGGACTATGCATCTCAGACAGGTGTTTGGAAAACATAAATCTGATTATTACATTCATATGGTGGATAAAGCAACACTTTTATCTCTTTAAACTTTGTGACAGAGAGGTTTTACAACAAAGACGTTTTCAGAACTTCTTAATTCATAACAAGTAATTCTTCTATTTCTCCTTAAGTCTGGTGTAGGCTCTTCAAACAACAGGACTTGAAAAGTGTACTCCATCACAATTTTAATAGCTCAATTAAAGTCCAATGTTATCTTAGTCCAAGGATTATATACATGTTAATTTAAAACTGTAGGTTCTCCTAACATGTATAACAGGAAAAATAAGTCTCTGATTGTTAGTTAAGGGTCACTGTGAAAAACTGACAAAAAAAAAATGTTTTGAGACATTAGATATTCAAAAGATTGGGTGAAAAGAGATCATTATAAAAAGTAAAATGGTGGTGTCAGTGCAGCCTCCCAGATTTCCTTATTAAATAGAGTTTGTTACAGATGCACAAAAAATCAAAAGTGTATTTCTAGTTTTTCTAAGTGATGCCTATGTGTTTACTTGGACTATATATATTGCCTGTCAAAATACAAACCTATTCAACTGTGATCCAGTGCATCACATAGAATTTCTACCAAGGAGTCATCAAATAGCAGTCTTTATTTGAAATAGACTTCCAGTACCTGGTCTAAAACTCAGTTGCAAATATACAGAAGTCTGCTTCTGCCCTGAAAATCAAGTCCATTGCTGGTGTTCAGCAAATCCCTTTACTGGCACCTCTACAGCCATTTTTAATGCAGAATTTGTTTGCCTCCCTTTTGATCTTTGAATCAGTTCAGATTTGATAACACAGTAAACAGTCCACAAACAGAACTAGCCGTTCATATTTTACCAGTTTCAATTACTTGTGTGAAAGCATTTGGAATTATTTTATGAAGCAGTCTAGAAAATATTTTATTTCTCATTTGTGAAGAGCCTTAAAATCATTCTTTTTAACTGTACAAAGACAGAGTCATCTTGATTTCACAGTCTTTTTAATAATTGTAGCTCTTGATTTTTCCAAAACTATATACCTGTCTAGCATTGTGTCCTGAGTTATTCCAAATGCTTAGTTCTATCATAACATATTTTCATTCGAACCAAATCCCTTGTAAAGATATAGAAAATTTACATCCTTCAACTAAAAACAAAGCCTCCTGCCACCTGAATCCTTGTAGAACTAACACAAGTACTGTAATCAATGCTGGTTCTTATAGAGCTAATGATGATGGATCAATTGATTGTAGCATTTCTAAGAAAACACAAACCTTGGCCAAAGCATGTATTATGTGCAGTCACTTTTTCACTCACTGAGGCAACCTGGTCTCTCTGTGAATGGGTTAGGTAGAAAGACAGAAATGAGCAGGATGAAAAGGAGAGAGGGCTCCCAAAAAATGACTCAGGAAGTTGATCAGATAGAGCCAGAGAGCCAGAAATGACTCAGAGAGTTAATCAGGTGAAGCCACAGGGTCCAAGAGTAACTCAGGAAATGTCCAGGGTCTCCTCAGATAAGAAACACCAGAAGCACAGGCATGGCACAGCCGATGTCCTTATTTCACCAGTCAGGACAAGCCTAGAGAGCTTAGAGCTGTCAATCAAGGACCTCTCTGCCCTACCAAAACCACATAAAAGAAGCCTCAGAATGAGCATCTGGGCTTGTCTTAACTTAGGCAGGCCCACTCTATTACTCTCTGCAGAGTGTATTAAAACTCACTTTGCTTTCTTAACTTTTGTCTCACTACATCTGACTTCCCTGT